GCCCACTTTGGTGCATGCTTAGCCCACCAATAGCATTTAACCCCTTTCCCTCCGGCAACCCTTATCCACTTTTTTCCCGGTCGCTGGGGCTTCTAGGAACCGAGTTATGAGAGTGGTGGCAAACTCCGCCCACTTCGGGGTGTGCCACGCCCAGCGTTCACATTCAACCTCTACTCCTACTTTCACCTCTACATATTTTTTTTCAGGTCTCTAAGTCATCTCGGAGCCGAATTATGAGGTCTTGTAGAAGACGTTATGAGTCACGAATTTCTGTGGCAAACCCCGCCCACTTTGGTGCATGGGTCGCCCACTGATATCAGTTGACTATCATCTCTTCCCCAACCTTTTTCTACTTTTTTCCCATCTCCGGAACTTATTGGAACCGAGTTATGAAGTACCGTGGCAAACCCCGCCCACTTTGGTGCATGCTCCGCCCGCCAACAGCGGTTGACCCCTTTCCCTCTGCCAACCCTTATACGCTTTTTTCCCGGACTCCGGGACTCCTAGGAACCGAGTTATAAGCCTAATTGCAAACTCCGCCCACTTTGATGTAAGCCACGCCCATCCCTGACATTTAGCTTCCCCTCCCCTCCTGACCTCTCCGCCGTTGTTTTCCGGTCTCTAAGCTTTACGGAGCTTAATTACTCCTCCGTGCCCCTTGAGGAATATCATGACTCTGCGAGACGACAAGCCCCATTTAAAATTAGGAAAGCTATGGTCTAGAACAATCTCTCGTCGAGAAAGAGGCCAACTCTCACGATCCTGGAACGTAGCTTTCTTGATACTGGTCAGTTGAACAATCCTTGGTTAAAAGGTCCTCCCACAGACCAAACTACCATTATTCGTACTCTCTCATCAGAGTAGATCCGAGACAATCACAACGCAACTGGCGGTCGAACGCGACGTTGCCAACTAGTTAGGCGGCTGAAAACCGAGATTAAGGTAATTTATGTCTATTATTTTTCTACCTTTGTGAGCTAACAGCCGGAGGATAAATCTCTGGGTCACCAGCCCACCTCCAAAACTTTGACTCTGGAACCGCAGTAGGTTTTGTCCGCTTCCAATACGGAATTCGTGACGACAGACAGATAGACAGACAGACTTGGCGCATTATATATAGTAGGGATAGGTCGGCACCATTGTGTTGGGGAAAATTTCAGATCAAGCTCAACTACCCTTCCCCATGAAACCTCTCCCTAAAGAGGGCATCCATGCAACACTACTCCTTCCCACCTAGGCCCCTCCTTTCCTAGTCCCACCTACTCGATCATCGTCACAATGTCATTCCACAACCTGCCTTGTTCTAACCTGCCCGACGACTAGCGGTATTTTAGACATTTCTGTTCATTTCTGACAAACGCTCACGTGTGGCAGAGGACTGTTCCACTCGAAGGCGTATTTACGAGGAAGAGGCAGCCCCAATGGGAATCGAGAGATGGTCATCGGTGCAAAGTGGAAGAAAAGATCATGAGAAACGAACTAGGCCCAAGGAATAGGATGACGAAATATCTAGCTTTCGCTTTCACATTCACCCTGGAGCTTCTTCTCCAGCAGAAGTTGGGATTACTGTGAGCAGCACGGCCTGTCGCATCACATGCCCCCTCACTCAAATAGATTAGATCGTTTTTTTTTTGTTTTCGGCGGTTATTTTTTCTCCACTCCCTTCTCTTCTGGTCTATTTCACACGTCTATTTTTACCTCTGAGTGCAATAACCATACCTAGATGTCTCGAAATGCACGTTGAATGTTGCAAATATTACCATAATCATCAGCTTAGTGATTAATGGAACTTCTGCGGCAAATTAAAATCGGACAGACTAGCATAACTCATCGAGGTCATTTCAATATTGCTGTAATGGAGTCTTAAATAAGAAAAATGCAAGAAAACGTAAGAAATAGAGATCCGTTCCGAATTTTCTCAGTCATTTCAATGGAATTTCACAATTTGTGACACGGCGTTGCAAGATACGGGGGCATTCTGGTGTCATTGCATTTAGAACCGCGTTAAGCACCTCTTTTTTGTTAAAACCGGGACTAAGCCTTGGGCAGAGGAGGAGAGACTCCAAGGCGGAGAGTAGGCAGGAATTTCGGGGAATATGAGGCGAAATCCTCATATTCCCCGAAATTCCTGCCTACTCTCAGGCTTAGTCCTAGAGGATGCCCCGTGTCTTGCGATAGCGCTCAATAGCCTCCAAGCTCTCCCAACCTGGTACCCCGGCATAGTTCGTAGTAATTGTACTCCTTTCTGTCTGTAAGGCTATCACCACTGTGTCTGGCGGGAGCCACTTCGCAAGCGAGCCCACTTCTCTCCCTTACCGTATCCTTCAGGACTCATATGACCTCTCTGCGGGGATTCCTGTCATGATCCGGGCGACAGAGTGATTTTAAAAGTCTTATTCTTAGCACAAGTACTGTCACACATTCACAACTCTGCTATGGGAAGAGAGTATTTAATTCTTATAACCTTATCATTATCACCTATCACAGCTTCATTTTGAGCCATGTGCCCTTCACTCTTGTTACTGTGGAAACTGCTTTCAAATAAGCAGTTTATAGAGTGAGTTGCAAAAAAAAGCGATAAAATTAAAACAGCAGACATTCGCAGCATAGTTCAGACAATTTTCACTTTTACTCAGGTAATCTATACTATTTACTGTTCACTTTTTGAGCAAGGCAATTCTCATCAAGTGGAAGGTGAACACTGTTCAAACAAAGACTAAACCACCTGTTCCCACTTCCTCCCTCTTCTCATGCCTCTTCAATGTTTCATAAATCCTTGACTAGTTAATCTATAATTTCACTTCATATCGCTATCGCTGTAGATCTTTCAGCCTCGACCCTACAAAAGTTCAGCTACTAGCAATCGTTGCAGGAGTAGATTAGGGCGAAGAATTTCAGTTCATTTGATTAAAATTAATATAATAATATACATTACAGATATAGATAACACGACCCATAAGGTTGCGGTTTAGGGACGTTTTACAAATTTGGAACGACGATATCACCCAGGAGTAAAGCTTCAGATGTTCACACTTTCTATTTCAGGCAATTGGCCGAAATGATGACTGTGGCACTGGTAGTGGAGCTGATTTCAACCGTACTCTCGTTGCTTTGTCTACCAATCAATATTATGTTCGTCTATGTCATCTTGAAGGAGAAGTACGTGATTTCTTTGCATGGGAAAGAAATGATGAAGAGCAACTAGATAGTACCAGTGCGCCAAGCATTTACCGCATAATTGGTTTAGGGCCAGCGAGAGCTCAAAGAGTATGCCTAAATTATGTTACCGAAAAGTTGGATCCTGCAATAAACACTGTCGAGAAGAGGTTCGAAAAATCATTCTGTGATGACAACTAGGAAGTAAATGTAGCACCCTGGTGGCCCATTTGGTTCAGACGCACGTCGATGACTTCCATACTCACCGCGCGAGGAGAGTGGGGGAGGGGTGGGAGAGGGGGTAAAGCGATAACAAGGGTGCACCGCGTAATCCACAGTGGAGGAAGTCAATTTCGATCGTGAGGAGCGGAATCGCGTTGGAGAGGACAGCTTGCAGAATTCAGATTTTTACTTACCGCTGAGTGTTGTTAGGAGGATAGTAGAGGTGCTGGAGAATGACAGAGGTTTATCTATACTAGAAAACTTTCGCAAGATCATGCTTGATGCTTCGGTAGAGCAATGAGTTAATTACTTTGCGTGGTACAAATTCCGTCGCGTGCGACGATAAGCGTACCGCTTTTTTTTTTAATTTGGTAGCCTGCCTTGACGGCAGATCGATCACGATGTGCCGACACCGTTGAAATGCGGATGAGAAAAATCCATTAAATTGGCTGTAAAAAAAGGAGGGAAGCGGTCAAAAACCCCGAGGAAAAGGACCATCATCTCGCCCTTTAATTTCGTGATTGGACAAGTTAAGCGCTGTGGAGGTCGTAGGGAGAAGTTCAACACTGGCGCTATGGCTACGATGATCGAAAGAGAGTTGCAGCTTCAAAGACCGGTGCAGCAGTGCACTTATAGAAGAAAATATCGTTATCGTCTTTCCCACGGGCCGGTAATGGGCGTGTCTGAGAACCAAAAAGGCTATCAAATTTACCATGTGGTAGGTAGCACGCCTTTTTTGCAAAAGCGCCAACTGGCGTCTTTTAGGACACTCCGGAGCCCTCGACTACCCATCTATCTCTTGCACAAACATCCGTTCCACCATGATTTGGCCCTTGACCGCATAAAAAGCCCTACTAAGGCGGAGTTCGCATCCTCACCTAAGTCAATTTATCCTAGTAAACTGATTACTATTAGATAACCTATTGCAGTGAGTCTCAAAGGGATTTAATCAGCCGCAACTTTTTATTGCAGTCGAAATCCGTACACTCCTTTTGCATCATCGTTCTTCCGACTCTGCATACACCTCTCAGTGGCGGATATCTTGATGTCTATATTCGCGACAATATTTTTCAAATTTCCCATATTTGGCGTCTTTCCGGAGAGCTTCTATGAAGAAAACTGGTCGGTGGTGCCAGTGGCAGGCGTGAATTATCTCGGTCATTCACAAGCCATCGGAATCATATTTATCGCAGTGAACAGGTTGGTTATTTTCTGTCAGTCAAAAAATAGAGGAGAAACGATATAGTAAGCAGTGTTAATCAGCTTCTACCTCATTTTTAGGTTCTTTGCAAATAAAGAAATAAAAATGATGTACCACAATACTAGAATTCTAAGTTTCCACCTAATTTCTGTGTAGCCAATCAGTTTCTGATTTCACTCGAAGAGAGCGGTTTCCCCCAAAATGAACATGGCTGTAGGGCGGAGCGGTTTTGATGACGTCACGTTGGACATCATTGGTGGACCAACCAATGGTCTGAACGAGTTCCTAATTTTCTTCTACCGAGGAAACCCAAAGCCGTAAACCGTTCCGCCTTCCAGTCATCGTATTCGGCGGCTTTAATCCGCACAACCGTAATGAAGCATTTTTCCAAACACCAAAAATCATATTTGAGCAGGCTAATTTCATATCCTTCGCAAAGAAATGAGGCCAGTTTTCTGAACAAAAAAAAACGAAATTTTGGGTGTGTGTGTGTCATATCAAGCCGAGACATTCTCGGCAGGGAGAGGGGGTTATATTTAATACTGTGGGAAAGGAAGTGGTGCATAGGGTGAAATGGCGAGGTACTTTCGGTATATGCGCAACTTCAACAGGACTACATTACATTGTAGCGGTTCTCAGACAGATCACCCAATTCTTTGAGAAAAAATTCCACAAAATTTTGCAAAACAGAAATTTTGAGAAGTTTGCGAAAATCGCAACAATTTAAAGAGTTATGATTTCACTGAATCTTCTCCCTCCCGATTTATGGATGTTTTGAGGAAACTCGGGCATAGTTCCAGGCAGGAACATAGGAGAGAATGGGAGTATGCGAAGGTGAATTTAGAGACGGCAAGAAAGGGTATCGTTCTGGCCGAATATTTACGGCTCATAGTTCGCCCTGGTCCCTGTGATTTCACAGAGTCGAGATCTATGGACACATCTATATTGATTTTATGTAAAATCATATTCAAAGTATAAATTCAAATCCCCTGAATTGATCTTGATATTATTCCAGATTCACAGCTGTGTACTTCCCCATGAGGCACAAACAGAAATGGTGGAGGCCACCGGTGAGTCAGGGAAGCAATTAGCTTCTATTCAGATGTATGGACAACCAATATACTAAAAGAATAGGCAAATAAATAAATAAATGAATAAGTAAATTCCTCAATTACTAACATCTTCAGGTCACGACATTTTATATGATTCCTCCAATGGACAATACCGTAATTGTATATTAATTATTCCAACTATTCTTTACTGATTCACTTTTGTTATGGATCGATCAACCGGCTCGGTCACTTTTCATCGAGAGATGCTGTTTTTCACAAGGTTCCTCCCATTTTCAACAGCACAAATAACTACTAAGAAAAACATCTGGAGGCAATCAGTGCGAAAGACGGGGGGGGGGGGGGGGGGGGGGGGGGGGGGGGGGGGGGGGGGTCAATAGGTGAGCCATTTGGAGCTGTACCGTTGTCAATTGGTAGTAGGCCACAGAAGGCGAACCGACTCCACCTCAAGCGTGACTGGCCGAAACAACCTTCCAACACTCGACCACTAATATTTTTTGTTCCGCCTCTCACAGCAAGCCATCGGGCACTATCGAGCTTCAAGTTGCATTCCGTGCAGGCAATGCAGAAGGTAACAGGCGAAAAGATCGATTAGCGCTTAGCTCCCTCTGTCAACCTCGATCCCTTCGCGAGAAGACCCATAATGTAGCCAGGCGAGGATTTTCGCGATGCATCTGCTACGAGCTACACTCCGAGTGCCAACGAAGCCTAAGTAATAATAATATATGCCAAACGGAGGTAATATAGGAAATAGTGGAGAGCCGACCACCACACAGACGGTCACGTGATCGAAACCAAGCTCGTCGTCCAGGCAAACCAAGGGAAGGGAAACCTCATGTGAACAATTAACTAACCATAAGGCAGATAATTGCTGTTCCGCTCCTTTCTCAGGAAACTCTTATTACACATTTCGCCAATCCCAGGAGCGCATCAGTGAGCTGATGTAGGCAAAATAAGGCACAGGGAAAGATGAAGAAACCTCGAAATTGACGCCCTTCCTCTTTCCGGGTCGGGCCTACATATTTGGTTATCAAATTCTGGAGGATCGTAAGATGACATTGATTGGCCTTCGCAATCAACTGAATAGACCAAGTCAAGGATGGCATGGCTCATTCCACGAAGGGGTTGGTTGGCGCGTTTGTTCCAATTTAGGGCAAAAACCAAAACGAACAACGCTTTTGATTAGGTCAATAAACACTAATACCATTCAGGTGTACTTTGTTGGACTAGCCATACTCGACGGAATTGTCGTCAATGCCATTGTATCTGCATTATATATAGCAATTTTTATCAGGTAATAATTTCTATTAGGTAATTTTACAGATCGCCATCGGCCACCATTGCACTTAGGCTTTCTACCCATACTCACTTATAGGGTAAAAACTCATGTTGTTGTTCGTCGACCAGGAGAATTAGCCATGCGTTTGGCACTTTCTGCTTTCATCATTTTCATATCCTACTGCACTCTTGGGGTAAGTGTTACACTCGATTGCTTGATCCAATATAAGATTTAGGAGATATTAAAGGCAAAAGTCGGGCTCAATAAGGGGGTATTATGGCGATTGAAACTGAGTATAGAGATGCGAAGTGGAACGACAGTGGAGAAAAAACTGAGAAAAACCGTCGACAAGGCCGTTAACAAAACCCTCTTTCCCACTAGCAGTGAAGGAGGCTGGCTTGGGAAAGAGGCACGTACAAACAGTCGTTCTATCGGTTGATACGGCAATCAACCTAGCTGATTTCACACGTTATGCCAGCCACGCACCACATCCCAAGGCGGTCGTAGCGGGGCCAGGCGGCGATAGCGCATAGTACATGCCCTGGGGCCTTATTACCGCGCCGTTTGAGATTTTGAGCGTGGGAACATCTCTACGGGTGCGTAACCAAGTACAGGCATGACCGAAAGGGTTGGTTTGGTCAACTAATCCCGACCTTTGCCTTTAAAGGCAAGATTCAGGATTAAATTGATGAGGTAATTCTACTCAAATGTGATGTAGGGGTGGGAGGTGGACCGCCAGTGGAGAAAAAAGGAAAAAAAATCGTGAAATACACAGGAAATACGAGCCTTTTGCTCTACGCTGCGGAGAAGTTCAAAAGGCCGGCAGGGAGATGAGAGATAATGTGAGCGCGGAGAGCGGTAGAGAAGTCCGAGTAGAGAGAGCATAGCAGATCAACATTGCGACGCAGACAAGATATCGAGCGGTGGGCGGAGCGTGTCGCAACAGGTGGAGCGTGTCAAAGTTCTTAGCGCCTAGCGTCTAAGTAACGCTTTTCGAAGTAGGGAAGTGACGCGACCTCTACACTTGCGTACCTAGCGCTTCTAGCCACCGTAAAGGCTCATTAAGTGGGTCTGAGCCCGAACTTTGCCTTTAAAGGCAGGTGGTAAGATTAATTGGAGATCGAAGAAGAGGGAATACATATGATAAAGGGAGGCAGTCTCCTAGGTAGCGGGACAAGGATGTGTTATTGCGAGTGCGCAGGTAGCGTCCTAACAGGACCTTACACATGGCGGCGAATCCAAACTGCTTTAGCAGAGAGGAAGAGCAGACGGCTCATACCGATAACATAAAAAATAGCAAGAGTGCTTCAGGATGATATTTTCTCAATCCTATATTGATAAACTTTATCAAGCTTGTCCACGCGCAGGGGCTTTACACTAGTCTTTCTGATCTACAAGCATGGCTTATCTCACTATAACTTCTGAGACGAAATTAGACTAAAGCGCTGCTGAGATGAGAGGTGTGTTTTATGCAACACTTGCATAGGTAGCCATATAAAGAACAACCTTATTTTTAACAAAAACAGTAGTGAGTGCTCCCTGATGACACACACGAAGGCGCTTTTTCCTCACCACACATGCCTAGTATGACTACCCGATTCAAGAGGACGAAAATTTTGGTTGCGTTCGGACGGGTTTCGATCCATAATCAGCCGCGTGCCGCAAGGGTTTTTGCCCCCACTGAGTTCATTTTCACGTCAACATTTCTAGATTTCTCATAATTAGCTTAATATCCATAACCCTTCAACTTATGAGATATTCTGTAACGAAAGGGCACATAACAAAAAACCAACGCCGAGTAGAACTCACGAGCATCGACCTGCTTACATGAGAGACCAGTAAATTTCTGCATTGCAGATCTTTTCCGTCCTTGCCGCAACTACACGTCCGGAAGATGCTTGGATGTACCGTACACTGTGGTTTGTTGTCAACGACGTTTTGTGCGCCAGCAACGCTCCTGTACTGCTGGCATTGAACAAACCGATACGAAACGTCTACATGAAAAGGATAGGACTGCAACACAGAGAAACTCATACAAAGGGTTCCCTCATCAATCATATGTGAGCCTATCGATATCGAAACATCTTTTCAGAGGGTTGGCACAGCAAAGTACTGTTGTAAGCCACTGTAATAGTTTTGTACTTTTTAAACCTATTGGATCAACAAGGAGAGCTACATTTTGTTCCTTTCTTTTCACAAGCGATTCGCTGAAAACTCTTCAAAAGACAACCGTTTCGTAGACCCTTTGAGACAATCGCTACTCAAAATCGTTAAAAAATGTAACTCTCCTAGTTAGAATGAATCTCTACACCGTGGCAAGAGATTCTAAATTATCAAGATATTTGGTGCTGAATCGAATGAAATCATGGGATTTTTAGCTTAATTCACTGGTATTCCTTTTTTACGATTGAGGTAGTCATTTCACTGATCTTCTTTTTTTTTGATTGAGATGGAGCTCTCGTCATACTGATTTGTCATGACCCCTCAAAAAATCAATTTTAAAGAAAAACGGGTAATCGGAGAGGGTCTCTCCTTAATCAACTAAACCAATGTTCAGCTAGAAAAAATCAGCTTTGATTCCAAACTCTCCAAGCATTAATCTACAGCAATCTCACTTAAGCCTGGGATTTCTCTGCACCAGTACGGACATCTCTTTTCCGTCATTTGTTCTCTCTGAACCCATTTTATGCAAACTATCATATGTTTTTAGTAGAGATTGTTTTCTTCCCTAAACGATGTACTTCAGTTCTGCATTTGTTCCTAACGTGTTGAATTTCAGGCTTGCAAAATGGGAGGTCCAGGCGGCGAAAGTTAGCCTAAGCGCCAACTAACTTAACGCAATGTTCGATGAGACGACGTTAAATCGATGAGCAATGTACATTGTATTCAGTCACCTCTACTGAACATTCCGCTCTCAAGCTGTCAAAAATTCGTGTCGTTTTTCTTCTCGAATTAGCGCTTTTCTGGTTGAGCGTTGAGCCGTAGCGGCTTGTTAAGTTAAATCTCCCCTAAGACTCAACATATCTACAACATGTCATGTATCGCTTCTTGATTCACTTGTGTCTGTTTCGGTTTTATTTATGCTATGAACTGGGTCAAATTTCAGGCCTACATCATGAACTGTCCAGACAACGAATGGCCACACAGGGCTAAAAAAAGACCCCGAAGAGATGACAAAATTAATCAGGAGTGCATCCTTGTACTTACAAGGGAGGTCTTTCAGGGCAAGCCGCGCTTTTTGGAAACGGTTTCTTGCATATTGTAGGGACGCATGTATGGACCACAAAACCATGTTTCGTTTTCGCTGAACGGTTTTAGTAGTACCAAAAAAGTGGTGAATGATACCCTTGATGGTTCGATCCCCCGCGGCGACTAAATTTTGCAATCAAGGTTGGCGGCCACTTGTTGGCTTCAAAATGGTCCTGACGATGAATTTGACATCTGATTTTGATATTTAGCGCGATTTGGCACCAAACCGTAGGCGCCAACCCAAATGCAAAATTTAGTCGCCACGGGGGATCGAACCATTAACAGTACCTTATGCTTCTTTTTTGGTACTGCTAAAACCGTTCAGCGAAAATGAAACATGGTTTTGTGTTCCCTACATGCGTCCCTACAATATGCAAGAAACCGTTTTGAAAAAGCGTGGCTTGCCCTGAAAGACCTCCCTTGTTAGTCACAAATTATTGAGGCGTTTCATCATTTCGAACGTCTCCGTAGTAAAACTTTTGAGTCTAGATTAGGCGACTTTGCGGTCAACCATCGAATTTTGGAGGAGAGCCCCAGCTCGAAAAGAAACTACTCGATTTGATATACAACTCAGTAGTGGAATACCCAGAAGAAGCCGTGATTGAGCACAATTCACATCGCTCATCGATTTCACCTCTTCTTATCAAACAAATTCGAGTTAACTGCTGGTTTGGCTAATTTTTGTCGATAAAGCCTCCCATTTCGCGAGCCAGAAATTCACTGTCAACGTATGTAAAAAAAAAAGTTTCCTGAAGAAGACAATCTCTTCGAAACGGTGCGGAATTATATAACGACAAAGACTTTCCAAGAAAATTTCAACTTAAAAAAGCGACATTATAAACTCGGACAACTTAATATAATAGATAGAAGTACTATGACTGCTAGGTACAATTCAGATTGATTATTAGGGTTGATAAATTCAACTTCCAGGATATATTTCATAAGGATGTCATGATGTTAGCAGTAGCGAGCCCTAGTGATATACCTTAGAGTACATTGCGGGACACCAATTCCATTCTCACCTAGTAACACAATTCACCTGGATTTGACATCTGAAACGACAAACGACCCCCTTCATTATTGTGGCGAGTATTAGACGCGTGAACGTAGTGCACAACCCAATAGCAACATTAAGCAGCGACGATAGGAAAGACGCAACAATGGGTGATATCGATTGACCGAGTATTCAGCTTTGAGGAAGTCTGTTTTTTTTTTTTTGAAGGGCCAGATTTTTCTATTAATCGTCCTCACTAAACAGTAAGAATAGAGTAGCGGAAAACCAACTTAGAAAATCGCTAATCAATTCCATTCAAACCAAAGCTTATTCCATGTCGATAACATGCCTTACCCTTACACACTGCTTGAGCGTATGGAATATTTTGGAACCGCCTATTCACTCCAGCTGATTTTCACAAAAATACAAATCAAATATATAGAAAACCTCATTCTTGTCTCTATGCATGTAAGATACGGTAGCATAGACGAGTGACCATAGTTTTATTAGTAATAAGTATGCACTGAGATTACAAATTTGTGTAGGAATGCAATGGGAATTGTTCGTGGGATGGTGTAAAAATAGAGCAACCATGCAAAGAAGGGATCAAATTATCATTCAAAATATATGCAGGGCCTTTTTTTCTGACAGAAAAAAAATGTTTAGGCGGAGCAATAGCATACATTATACGACCGCTATGGTTGATTTGCCACCGAGGTTAACATAAACACAATTGACAGGCTACAACCCCTCTCCCCATGACACCAATAAACACGTTTTCAACTACATAGAGCGAAAATTCTATCTATTCATAGAGCGAAATGATCGACTGATTATAAGCTCGAAACTAGAGGCCCAAGATGTTATTCCTGCCAATATTAATGTGAAAGCTACTTTTGTAATTGTCATAAAAACGCCTCTTGCCACACAAAATAAATTAGGTAATCTTTAATTTCGTACATTATTTTGAGACACTTTCACTCCCGTCCAGCAGTGCATATTATCAAGTAAGGCAAAAACAGTCATAACAACGGTGGCATCAGTATTGCTTGCAGTGTTGGCTCATCACATGCTTCAGCAGCCGTCTGGCCATCACTGTTGCGCACCATTCGATCAGCTCCCTTGGATATTAGAAGTTCAGCTGCGGCTTGACGATGACAATACGCCGCTAAAAATAATTTTTACGGTCTCCCAAAACTGTGCCAAAAAAATTTCCTGATCTCCCAGAATTTGAGATGAACTTCAAAAAGAAAGCTTTCAACTGCAACCACTCATCCCACATACAGATAGATCGCACCCGTTACTTCCTTAACAATGGAAACTACGGTTTTTAATTATGTCAGACTTCAATTTTGTTTATTGACAGATTATTCCGTACTTCGCTGTAGTATTCTAGACATGTAGTTCGGAGCGGTAGTGAAAACCAATCAGGACATATGGAATTAACAAAACCAGCCTAGCCACCTTTTCCGGTATCACACACAAGCCTTAGAACCAGAAAGATCTCTTGCACATGAAATACTTACCAAAATGCAGAGGCGTATTCCCTTCCGGATCCACCGCATTAACGTCGACTCCCTTTGAGATCAAAAATTGCACCACTCGGTCACAACCAGAATCAATCGCCCAGTGTAGGGCAGTCATCTAAAATACTACGGATCCCCTCTGGAACTCGAATTGCACTTAAATAACTTACACCGAGATGCTGATCGGTACTATTGAGTAGCTCCGGCCTTCTATTGAAAATATCCATCATCGTAGTTTCGTCATCAGCCTTAGCTGCTGTGAACCATAACAACGCTTCACGATCACTGACAGACAATGAACCGGTGTCCGACGACTCACTCTGCAATAATTCACAATTTGAAAAAACTCCTTGTGAAAGCAAAACACTCTCTCGCCATTTTTAAAGTTTTTTTTAGGTGGTCTTGGGGCGAACTTGCAGAGTGAAAAGTACTACCACAAGGCTGTATTGAGCGATCATCCGAAACTGCCAAAAATCGATTTGCCGATGAATCGGCACGGGCACCCTCCCGCTACCTTGTTTCAAAACCTTGTGAGGTTTTTGCAGATAGATTTTTGCAGATTAAACTTTTCAAAAGCGGTGGATTTCGTAATCCTTAGGAAAAATGGTTGTGTGTTCGAGGTTAACCTCTCCTTTGAACTAGTGCTTGAATTCCTTTGAACCAAAAGAAACTAAAAATGAGAGGAATGCGTAGTACTTTGTGAATGTGATAAAGAAGACAATGCGTAAAGTATGTATGATATACCATATTTGACGGCATGTCGGTTTGATGTACTAAACAATAAACAAGAAAGCTTTTCCTCGGCTGTTGGTTCCACGGTGAAATGTGTCATGCATTCCAATTCGATTTAGAAATTGATGATATGAAAACATACGAATTTGAGCTGCTAGCGAAATATACCCCGCAGTTGTAACACTTTCGACTTTTTTGGAAAAAAAAATAGTTGGACCGTTTTTAAGAGCTGGGGAGCTATCTCTGTTTTCCAGCCAAAGTTATGGCACGTTAAAGACAAAATCACAAACTTGTTAAAACGAACTATGACAGCTGGCCGGCTTGGTCGGATGCCGAAACCTTGCGAGGAGTTCTGTGATGATGGATCCCAGCCCAAATTCATGCTTACCATCTTCGTTACGTACCTAAATGAGAAAGTGGTAAAGCACAACACATGAAACATCTGCAACCTTTATAACTAAAAAATAAGTTAGTGGTTTTGGTCTCAAAAATTGAACGAAATCCATCTGCCAATCTTGTTCTCAGTTCGTAATATAAGAAATTTCGGAATGATGCTCGGACTTAATTGGCGCTCTACACAGAACTGCAATGCCGGAGGAGATGCTCTTCTACTCGGCAATGAGTAATCAGTTTGAAAGTTTTCGCCCTTGTTAAAGGT